GCTTAAACACAGCATAATTGTAAAGATTAACGAATGTATTTTTGTTGGTTGTTGGGGTTTACAGTCGGCTTTGCCAACTGTATTTGTTTCACAAAACTAATTGATTATGCCCAAAATAAATAATGCAATTGCTCAAAACTCCTCGATAGTCAAAGATTATGAATTATTGTCATGAGCAAAGTCATTGTATTTGGAAATTGCGAGGCAAGGTGACCGACCCTGTCAACGTAATAAACAATGGGTACTGGCACTGGCACTGGGTTAAATGTTGACTAAGTAATAATAAAGCCAGTCACTTAGGAAAAAGTTTGATTTCTTTTATGTTCCTGTTTAACATAAGTTACAGTGAGAAAGTGCCAAAGAATGAAAAGACAGAAAAAAATGGGTGGTATGGTGCTATAGAGACTCTTAGATGTATTATTTAAAATATTATGTATTTAAGTTCTTTTTTTATTACATTAAAACTTTTAACTGAACATTAGTTTTAAGATTATAAAAAATTAATTAAGAATTAAAATATCCGTAAATTGATCTAAATACTCTTATCCTTGGCCATTAAAAAAAAAAAAAAAAAAAAAGGGTTGTATAGTGTAGAGTGCAGACAAGATGGCAACTTGGCATCAGTTTCCTGGAAGGGGAGAGTGAAATAAAGGAGAAAGTTAATTTAAAAATGAAGAAAAACTTTTCAGCTGAATTTAATAATAAAAAGAATTGAAAAGGCATTCGTGCTATGTCTTTTTGTCAAAGAAACGATGATTGGGTCTCTACTTAAATTTTGCATGTGTTAAAAGGAAGAGCTGAAGAAGGTTCATAGAAAATTGTTATGAATGGGACTAGGACAGGGACAGGAACTGGGACATCCTAATTGCTCAATTATTAATCCAACCAGCCAACCCCGTAAGATCTAATAAATATTANAACATCTAATTCTGCTGAATTTTATAATTAGAAACATTGATATCGTTGGATATGTATCAGTTGGTGAGGAGAAGGAGATTATCTAAATAAGCATGAATCTATGACATAAAACAAAAAATGTTTGCTTGAGTATGATATAATTAAAGCACCGATTTAGTTGTTGGACATATAATGTACTGATTCATGAACACAAAATACCTTTATGGTTTGCATAATGAGGGCATTGATTTGCTCTAAAGCATTAATGTGTGGTGCAATCATTTGAGTATTGAGTTCTGAAAAGTCACCTTGGGTTGAGAGGACCCATTAAGGGGAGGAAGCTTCATGGCAATGACAAAGGCCGGCTTTTTATTGAATCTGTGAAATTATAATTCAAAGATACTGAAAGGAAGTATTGTCTAGTGTCGATACAGAAATCTGTACCAACCAACGAGATCTGATCGATCTTGTCGGGATTGAAACTGATGTGTACGTAATTACGAGTAATCAGCGATGAGTGAATGAAAATGCTAGAAAATAAATGACAAGGAGGACTTTTAAAGTAGTTCGACGAAGTTAATAGTCTACGTCCACTGTGTTTTGTTTATATGCTGTGAGAGCTTCTAATATAACTTCTAATCTAGAATTCGTATCCCCTTCCTCATCGTTTTAGGGGGTATATATATAAGATTTACATAAAGGAAAGAGTGAAAATAAAGGAATTATAATTGATTGGAACTGCAACTCGGATATTCTCGCGATTGGGCGCTAAGAGTACACAAAGATTGCTGTTAATCTGATCGTTCCCGTAATATCTGGGATCTGAAGTTTTCTAGGAATTGATTGAATGATCATTTGGGTTGTCGACGACTAGCTTGTGCTGGGTCTAGATATGGCTCGACGAGTTTATGCTAGATCGATCAATTATAGTCACCGACGTCATTATGGGTCGAGCTATATCTTCGCATTAGCCCAAGCTTGACGGAAAAATCACACGCAACATCTGGCTTTCAAACAGTATAAAAATCTGCAAGATATCTTGTCCAAATAATTTAGATTAGTGTGTGTTTATGGAGCTTAAACACAACATAATTGTAAAGATTAATGACTATTTTTGTTGGTTGTTGGGGTTTACAGTCGGCTTTGCCAACTGTATTTGTTTCACAAAACTAATTGATTATGCCCAAAATAAATAACGTAATTGCTCAAAACTCCTCGATAGTCAAAGATTATGAATTATTGTCATGAGCAAAGTCATTGTATTTGGAAATTGCGAGGCAAGGTGACCGACCCTGTCAACGTAATAAACAATTGGTACTGGCACTGGCACTGGGTTAAATGTTGACTCAGTAATAATAAAGCTAGTCACTAAGGGAAAAGTTTGATTTCTTTTATCTTCCTGTTTAACATAAGTTAAAGTGAGAAAGTGCCAAAGAATGAAAAGACGGAAGAAAATGGGTGGTGTAACCAACCCGAGGGTGATCAAAGATACAATAGAGACTCTGAGATATATTACTTAAAATATCTTAAATTTGAGTTTCTCTTTAATTATTAATAAGAGTAACCACTAAAACTTTTACCTAGTTAATAGTTTCAAGATTTTAAAGAATTAGTTGAGAATTAAAATACGCATAAATTGATCTAAATACCCAAATCCTTGGCCATTAAAGAAAAAAAAAAAAAAAAAGGGGTTGTATAGTGTAGAGTGTAGACAAGATGGCAACTTGGTATCAGTTTCCTGGAAGGGGAGAGTGAAATAAAGGGAGAAAGTTAATTTAAAAATGAAGAAAAACTTTTCAGCTGAATTTAATAATAAAAAGAATTGAAAAGGCATTCGTGCTATGTCTTTTTGTCAAAGAAACGATGATTGGGTCTCTACTTAAATTTTGCATGTGTTGAAGGAAGAGCTGAAGAAGGTTCATAGAAAATTGTTATGAATGGGACAGGGACAGGGACTGGGACATCCTTATTGCTCAATTATTAATCCAACCAGCCAACCCCCTAAGATCTAATAAATATTAAAAACCCATAACAGATCTTCCTAAACACAAACACACCATAGATAATTAAAGTATTATCACAGAATCAGTACTTTTAATGTTGCCTAAATATATATACATTATAGTACAATGCATCTCCTTTCTTGCTCTGTGTTCAACTATTTCCTTACAGTACAAGTTTGGAATCTTTCTTATAAAAGTAAAGACTATAGTTATCTAAAAGTTGCTTATATGATACTCAATACACATTTTTATTACTGAAATAATTACAGTCAAAGTCTTAAGAATTTTTTTTTTTTTCTTTTTGATATGATCGAAAATATTCGAATCAATTTATACGCATTTAAACTAATCTCTCGAGATCCTGAAATTATCAATCGGATAAGAGTTTTGATGACCACCTGAAATTAATTTAATTACTAAAGTGTTTTTCACAAGTGACTGATGCACATGTTAAGCTTAAAATGAATTTGGAATATAAAAAAAGAAGGAAGGGGAAGGGGTACATTACATCGGCGGGATACAAGGATTGTGCAGAAATAAGAATAGGGTTCAACGAAGCAGACCCAGATCAGCTTACGCCATCTCTTGTCGGACTGTTTGGGTTTACTTTTTCCAAGGACCTTCTCTTCCACGTGTCTTTTATCTTGCTTTGCAACGCAGGTCCTTCCTCTTCCATGCATCGCCACGTTTCTCTCTGCTTCTTCATATTCATATATGATATTTAGCCCACCACTAACCTTTCCTTTCTTCTAAAAGGATCCCAATTCAAATGTTTTAATAATAAAAACACCGTGAGTTGTGTTCTGCTTTGTTTAGCTAAAATGTGAGTTAATTATTATGAGGTAGTCTGATGTTAAAATAGTAAAAAAAGATTTTATGAATTTTTAAGTTTAAATTCGTTCAGACACTAATAAGAATAATTCTCAGAGTTCTTATTCAATCGATAATTTTAAAGTTTAAGAGATTAGTTGAAATATGTGTATACTGATTTAGACATTCATGATAATTAAGAAAAAAAACATGAATGGAAGATAATAGAATTGGAATCCGAAACAACCTTAAAAGTTAAAATCAGATAATAATGCATTCCTAAATATCGTAAACAATTATTTTCACTTTATGAAAGCTATTGAAAACTTTGCTGCTAAAATTGGAAGCTGCAGTATCCAAGAAAGTGGTGATTCGCTAGCATTTCATATGTCACTCTGTTTAAATAGTCCTACATCTACATCGCTTCACGTGAATCCACAATATCTGCCTAAACCCAACCCTTTGTCATCTTTCATCAACCTCATCACTCTCCCACCGCACAAGATATTTATCTCACTTAACTTATTAACTATCTTTTAAATTTTGAATTTAACCATTCAAATCATGTGATAATGCCAAAATAAATTCTGAAGTTTAGAATATAAACTTGTAACTGAGAGAAGAACTATTATTCAAATATTTAACACCAGAAATAATTCGTTTATAACTCAATCTTATAATCTTCTCTTACAACTCTAACGCGATAGTTGAGTTGGTAACCATTACATCAGCTTTTATGATATTCAAGACACAAAATAACTTTAATTATACATAAACAATTTTTTTTTAAGGATAAAATGATAAATGGTCATTCTTTCATAAATAATAATTATTTTTTATGAATAGAACAATCATTCATTATGAATGAACAATTGACCGTTTATCTTTAAAGAGTAATTATTCATATTTAGTTAAAATCGTTAATTAATGTGATAATATTAATTCTATTATTACAATAAGATTGTAAGATTGTATTGTAGCAGTAATATTTTTTATTTAATATAAGTTAATAAACAATAATATGCGATAATGACGTATAGAAAAGACAATAATAGTTTAAAGATTAGTCAAAAGAATCAAGTGAAAATAGGTCCCATTATAAATGAAAAAGCCAAGTGGCTGTGAGCGTAATAAAATTTTTAAACGAGGGTTAAAGTTGAAGAAATACAACCTGTCACTACCAACTTACAGCCTGGCAAGCCCTGCTCATGGATTAATTAAATAGAAGCAAACCCTAGAATAAACGACAAATCTGACATGGCAGTAAGTTACAATCAACGAGCTTTACTATCTTCTCTATATATACATCTCCCCATTCCCTCTCTCTTCTTCAAAATTCAAGCTTGACACTCAAAGCCCCTTTCATCTCTCCACCGCCTCTTCATTTCATTGCTTTCAAGATTTGACCACGCCCACTATAAGCCAATGGGTATTTGCAGTTCTTGTGACTCAACACATGTCGCCACCGCAAAGATCATTCTACAAGATGGAAGATTGCAGGAATTCTCATACCCAGTTAAGGCTTCTTACGTGTTGCAAAAGTATCCCGCATCATTTATTTGCAACTCTGATGAAATGGACTTTGACGATGTCGTTTCAGCCATTAGCGAAGAGGAAGAGCTGCAGCTTGGTCAGCTCTACTTTGCGTTGCCGTTAAGTAAATTACATTACCCACTTCAGGCTGAAGAAATGGCTGCATTAGCAGTTAAAGCCAGCGCGGCATTAATGAAGAGTGGTGATAAATACGGCTGTCGCAAAAAATCAGTCTGTCCGGTGGGCGAGACCTCTCCCCGGAAGGTTACCTCCGGTCGCGGCGGTGCCGGCGCTAGATTAAAAAGAGGATCAAGGAGAGACTTTACGGCAATGTTGAGTGCAATACCTGAATAGGGATATATGGTAGAAAACGAGTGCGTAAAGCAAAGCCTGAAAAAAAGGATATTTTGAGGGAAAAATGTAAATATGTGATGATCTAGGGGTTATTACGCAGGAGTTTTGTTTGGTGATGTGATGAAGAGGTGGTGAGTTTAGATTTGGGTGCCAACCATGTGAGGGTCGTGTTACAATTTTACCCCTAAATGGGTTGATGAGAAGAATCATGTACAAATAATTATTAATTAGAATAATACTTTAATCTCTCTTTTCATTTGATTTTTTTTAATATTGGAATCAAACAGTGACACCCATATCAGTCACGTTGCCATGAGAGCAGTTGACCATGATATATGTATTTACTATCAACTTGAATTGCTGCGTACGTTACTAGCTAATTATTTTTTAAATATAAACTGAGGCAAAAGAATATTTTGCCTTACATAATGCCTGGAATAAATAACACAAAAAGCTGTACATTTTCGTATTATTTCATTCCATAGATCTGTGGTCTCAGTTAAGTCGTATTTGTTCCATATCAAACATACCCATCAATTTATCCTACGCGGAATAAGAAAACTATGGGCAAGCAATGGGAATTTGAAGAGAGTGGGATGGATGTTATGTTTTGTTTACAGCTGCGAATCATAATGTGTATGGACGGCCCTTTTTCTCGATTATAATTTGGACTATAATTACAAGGGTAGTTGAATTAGAATAGGTAATGAGGGATTTTGTTTGCATGGCAAAACTTTATCTAGACAGCTGGTTGCAGTACGATGAGTCCACCAGTTTTATTTAGATTTATTCATTACCAAATGCTTCAAAAAAACGAATCAAATTATAAGTGTCACGTTTCATCCTGTTACCTACCTAATTACTATTATTCTATTAACTAAGACGGATGTGAATAAATCAATAATTCTACTATTAAATGGTATGAAAGTACTTTTTTTTTTGAGTTGGAATGTAGTACAGTGAAATTAGTAATCTCAACTATAAAAGGAACATTATTCTTTAAATATTTATTGGTACATCTTTTTAATTGCCATGAACAAAGCCAGCTAGGGGAATCCGATGTTGCAGACGACAAACATAAAGGTGAAGAAGAAGAAGAAGAAGAAGAAGAGTAGTAACAATACAGTGTAGATACCATTTAGATGGAAGCAAGCGAAGAGTATTGGTTGATTAGAATGAAAGTGACGAAACAAGTGGGAAGAAAGTGATAAAGTAAAGTTGGACATTTATTAGAACATATAATCCCTTTAGCTGGCGAGTGCGAGTATGGACCATCACTAACCCCACTCATCATTGGCAATATAGTGGTCCAGTCTTCAAGCTTTTCTCCTCACCTAATTTCTCCATTCAATCTGCTATTACATATAATCTATAATTCAATTAAATCTGTAGATGGCTCAAATTCAATTGTTCATAAGAAAGTTCCAAGGAGATAATGGTGTTCTTCTTCTTCTTCTTCTTCTTCTTCTAACTTTATCAATTATTATTAGCAGGGTCTACCACAAATATATTATTGATGTGAAACCTTTTAAGTGTTTTCTTGTTCTATTGACTTCACCTCACTTTACTGATGCCACTCAATTATTTAGTGAATTGCCATTGAATGCTCTACTAGTAAAGCAAACCAATGAAATCATCGACCTATACAACATCTATAAGTTCATATATCGGTTTGATCCTCTGGCTCCTCATTAAATAATTTTGTGAGCTGCTTTTAAATGCGGTAAGTACAGTAGGTCTAGCAATCTATAATTTTTTTTTTTTTTTAATGACTAGGGATGTCCGAACTAGTTTACGCTTATTACAACTAATCTTTTGGGATCCTGAAATTACAAGCCGAGTAAGAGCTTCAGTGATCATTCCTTATTAGCAATCAAAGAATGACTTGAACTCAGGACGATCTATAAATTTTTAGTTTCCATAATCCCTTTCATATATATATATTCCTAATTATCGATTTTGAATATTATTTTTATAGAAATGGTTGCATATACTTTGGACTTTTGTTATAATTTGTATAGACTATTGGCTGTCCACCACAAATGTTTATTATTTTTACTCAGTTCGATGGGAGAGGAAGATTTTTCTTTTTGGTTGGTGATTGGGGCGTATGGACTAACTTACACATACCTCAACTAATCCTTTATAGTCTTGAAGTTGACGATTAGATATATCAAGTATTATCAACTACTAATGTTTATTATTTTTCCTCATTTCAATGGGAGAGGAAGATTTTTTTTTTTTTTTTTTTTTTTTTTTTTTTTTTGTGACCAGAGGACTCCAAACCTATTTATACGTACCTTAACTAATTCCCTAAAACCCTAAAGTTGACGACCGGATAAATCTCTTCAGTGACTACCCTTATTAGAACTTGTGGGAACTCTCATGAAATCTTATTTTTCTTCTTTCTAAACCTCTATTCCCATGCAAAATCGAGCTTTTTAAAAGAAAGATGATGTCGAAATCCATTTCATTTGAATGCAATATATCGTTTTCACCTTTGGAATGCTAAGTTATATTGGACTGATTAGTCTATCTTCACCATATCTAAGTTAAATGCGTCGGTCATTCGGTCCCACTGTTTTATTCTTCAAACATGCTAAATTATCCAAGGCCGGCATTGCCTTGGTTCTAGAGCCCTTTGGATCCAGCTGTCGTCCAGACCGAACCCTTTAAAAATGGTCATATTTTTTTAAACAAAGACGACGATTAGCCCAACCCTACGTACATGACAACCCCTTCTTCTTTCATACAAGATGATGAAAAAGTGACAAGGATGATAGATATAGAGCCAGCTCTAATAACTCCTTACTTTACCAATCACTCCATCCATTATTGTTATCGGACAATTGATCAGTGTACCAAAATGCAAATTATATAACACACAAAAAAACCAGCCACAAAAAGAATACATGTTTGGTAACATGGAGAGGGATCGATGCTAGCTACAAGGTTCCTCCTAAAGCATACAAATTGCAGGCTTCATGTGGATGAGAGTAGCTGTGAGATTAGCAGGGTCCAAAAATTAATTTCAACGGCCAAGTTTTTTTTGTTTGTTAATGAGAGTTATCTACAGTCATTATTATGTTCTTGGACAAGGACTTTTCTCTGCATATGGAGTACTACTGCCAAATTGATTTGATAACTCACCGATCGAAATTGAATTAAAATTGAAAGATGCCTAAGATTATAACTTGAGTTGAATCATAGATAACTCTGACAAGGGTTTCAACCAGGTGAGTCATTAAGGATTACATCTTCCAATTCTTTGGTTATTTGTTGCAGGAAAGAAGGCAATCTTCATATATTTTTACTTCATCATAGTTGTTACTACATGCATCTTGGATCGTTCATGCTTTGACTCTATTGATGCTGGATTTTGAAACAAACTATTCGCACGTGCAAAGTACTAAACGAACTTATAAATTACACGTGAATTGGAAAATAAAACAAATAAAAGGGAGACGATTTTTAAAGTGGTTCGGATGCTTCAAGCGAATCTTACGTCCACTGTCTTTTTATTTATGAAAGAGTACAATCAAGTCGCATGCAGCGATCTAAGAGAACATAAATACAAAGAGGGAGAGAGAGTGTTTTTGTTATCCGAACTAGAATCCTGAAAAATAGAGAGGAGTCATCTATTTATAATAAGAGGTTTTTAGGTAATGATTATAGGTCTGCCAGTGGGCAGGTGCCGTACAGTTTCTACCCTGCTTCCCATTGGCTAGCTGCATGATAGATATCTTTAAATCGCGTAAGGTTTGGACAAGTGGGTGACTCCCAGCCACTCATTAGCCATACTTTTACCTGTCAAGTTGATGACAGCTTGCCTTCTTCTACCCTTGGACGACGTGACAATGCTTGGACAACGCAATACCTTCCTAAACTCTGATTAATCCTCGCTGATGTAAGCTTGCACCAGTCTTGATTTTTTATACATAATGAACTCCTTAAAAAAGGGACTGTCTATATTTTTATATTCACTTTATGTTATGATAAATCCAATAGTTTTAATTGACCTATTCCTTGAAAAGTCAGTACAAACAAGACGACATAACATATTGAGTACAAATACAATTAACAATTTAGGGACAAAGGGATGAAAATTTTTTGTTTTTTCCCTTTTGTTTGTTAGTTGTTAATTCAAACCAAGTTACTGGAGATTAAAACAATATTATGTAATGGGTATAGGGTCATTACTTAAATAACAAGTTGTAATAGATTCATTCAAATTAAGATGATATATGCAGGCATTCAAAATGAGAGAAAATCAATTTGCCTCCCTTCCCCTAGTTTGCAGAGAATTATGCAGATTTTTGTCAAAAGGACCTTCCATAGTTTAAAAATGCGTCAAACAAGTATCAAAATTGTGACGCCATGTGTGAAGGTTAAAATTATCTTTTCAAAATTTTGTCTTACTGAATATAAGATATATTTTTTTATTTAAAAATATAATAAGGTATCAAAAAATATCCAATAAATGATTGTGGTTGATTTGGTGGTAGACTGGTAGTTTTGTGAAGTAAGGGGAAGTAATGCGATGGTGCTGGGCGGAGGGAGATGTTTGAGTGGGTGGCGGTTGTTGCGGAGGAATTGGATTGTGGGGTTTTCTTTTTCCTTATTTTTTTTTTTGGAGAAACTTTTAATTTTATGGTGCATTTGTTTTACTTTTTGGAATAGTATTCTATAATAGAATACTATTTAATGAAATATGATAGGATTGTGAGAATATGTTTTGGAAAATATTTTCTGAAAATATTTAGATTACTTTTTAACCCCTTATATTTGTTAATTTAACTAAACACCCCACGATTAAAGTTTAAAAATTAACAAAAACACTCTTCATCCACCCAACTATTGTTGGCAGTCGGCCACCACTGTCAAACGGTGGTAAAAAATACCAGAATGGCGCATGACCAGCTGGATTTGGCCGATCGTGCGTTGATTTGACCGTTTCTAGCCAGATCCATGGTGTATTTGGTTGAAAATGGACAGATCGGCTAGACCCAGCCGGTCGTGCGTCGTTATGGTGCTGGAGTCTGATGGTGGCAGTGGTGGTCGTTGTTGGCGGGTGATAGTGGCTTGGGTGGGTGGGGGTGTTTTTGTTAATTTATAAACTTTTATTGAGAAAAATAATTATTAAATGTTTTAAGTTGAATAGAATAGTATAAGATTTTGAGTTGAATAGAAAAGTAATTATTTCATTGGATTTGATAA